GACTTGGCCCCTTGGGCCCAGCGTCAGGAGCACGTTCCTGTGTAGCTCTGGCAGTGCACTGGCTCTATTAGTAAGTGGCACGACAGCGTCAAGTCATGTAATGCCTTGTGGTACTGGGAGAGCTCTTGGTTTTGTCACTAGAATGCAAAAGTTCATTCCCGGTGCCCTTTTGAGAGCACTGTTTCGAGTATGTTTAATGTCATGTACGTGTTGTTTTTTGAAAAGAACTAATGCCTCATGAGTTCTAAAGCCCAAATTAAGTCACGTAGGAAAGGTGCTGTGTTGATGTTATGCCTTCTAGATAGCGATTTTTAAATCTGTGTGTGTCTGTTGATAAAGCCGCGTTTAAGTAACAGTGTGTCAGGAGTCCCAAGTTGTTACGATGGTTTTGAATCCTGTTGGACATACCTGACTACATGAGTTGATCCTCTTAGCCTAAAAGTGCTTTCTGAACTTTAGTGTAACTTTCGTGAGAACACTAGGCCTTTTAGGGTATAACAGTAGCTCTTAAAAAAAAAAAAAAAAAAAAAGCGTGCTTCTAAACATGTCAATGAAAAAAACTGGCAAACGTAACTACTTCTCTCTTTTCCCGCAGGCACCATGGTGCGCATGAACGTTCTGGCCGATGCTCTAAAAAGCATCAATAATGCAGAGAAACGTGGAAAACGCCAAGTTCTCATTAGGCCGTGCTCCAAAGTAATTGTCCGGTTTTTAACTGTGATGATGAAGCATGGTAAGTGTAGGCTACACAAAGTTGACCTTTTTCTGTGAAGGATCATAAACGAGGTCCAGTATGATAATTTGAGATCGTTTCCTCTCTCTCATTTCAGTACTGTAAACGGTTTAAATGAAATAAAAATCTGCTGGGTAATGGCAAGTGCTCATTCGTGGTTTCTGGCTGGTTTGCTTTAGCGAAGGAGATCTTTGGGAAAAGCTTGAGCATGTTGTTAAACTGGCAATCTAGCTCTGTTTAGACTTTAAAAATTAGTTGATGGTAATAGTCATTGTAGAATGACTGCACGAGTTCTGTGTGTATGCTTTTAGGTGAGTTTGCTGTTGACTGTATTGTGGGAGGTGAGTAAGCTTATGTGATTACTGTGTTCTTTTCTAAGAAAAACTTATAGGGTATAAAACTACTGCAAGGATTCTACACATATGAGACAAGTTCTAAAAAGCTGATTCTCCTTCCAGTGTTCCACATGGGTTCTAGCTTTACGAAGTATAGTTAAATACAACATACGGTCCTTTGGTGCATTTGAGCCACACCAGATTCACTGAAGTGGGTTAAACTGCAAAAAACAAACTGTTCAGAAATTATCTGGATGCTTTTTTTTTTTTTTTTTAAGGTGCTTTAGACTTAAGTAAATGAAGATGCTTGAACAAGTTTTGTGCAACTTAGTTAAAAATGAGTTGTATGTAGCTAAGTCTTGTGCATCTGATTTTATCTGCTTTCTCATCCCTTATAGGTTACATTGGTGAATTTGAGATAATTGATGATCACAGAGCTGGGAAGATTGTTGTCAATCTCACAGGCAGACTCAACAAGGTAGGATTTGTCTTTCTGAGTTCAGTTCTCTAGGAAGCTGTTTAAATCTGAGACTTTTTCATGTTTGCTCCAGTTCTGAAAGTTCCTTGTGAAGAGGGTGGTATTTGTCAAGCTCATGTAAATGGAGAGTAGTACAGATCTTATCCGTAGCCTAACTTGTTTGGTTTTTTTTCCAGTTTCAAAACGTTGTGCTTGCCTAGTTACAGTTCTGTTAAACACAGAATGCAAGCTTGCAAGCGCATTGCATTTCTCTCTTTTTGGTTACCTGGTGATGTCCTGTTTTCTTTTACGCTGAAGCTATTTTAGAAGATTTGTGTTGATGGATAGCAGTTGAGTTTCTTTCTAGTTGATGCTTAATACTTGTAAAAGGTGAGAAGAGGAGCCTTTCTGCTGCTGGTAGATAGGATTTACTTGCAGTTAAGGGAAGGTTAAGTGGTACGTTCTGTAGTTACATCGTTCTCTAATTATATCAGTGCTTCTTAAGTTGCTGGGGCAGATGAAGTATTTATGTACGTTTTGGCATTTTTTTTTTTTGGTGCATTTGTCTTAAAATGCTGGGCTATCAAGTTCAGTGATGACTTTGCCATGTATCATTGCTTCCAATTAAGCTATTCAAGTGGTAGGTGATTCTTAAGTAAATCAAAAAATTAATAGTTCAGAATACACTGGAAGGTATCATCATGATGAACAAATCTTGTAACTGAAAGCTGTTGGAGAGTAGTAGGGAGAGAATTATAGCACTAACAGTCTGGATTGTGTTAGGTGTCATGATATGTGTCAGTGCTTTGAGTATAGTGTTCCTTGAACTGTCTCTGGATTACTTTGTTAGAAGGTCTTGAGTGGTGCAGCTGAACATAGTGCTTCTCCCAGTAGTAGAAATAACAGAAAAATTGTTTGGTTTGGTACATTGTCCATCAGTGCAGAAAAGTGTACTTTTGTGTGTGTTCTGGATATTTAAGCTAATTGGAGCCAATGAGGTAACTGAAGATGGTGGTAGTGATCATGGTCAATAATTAATGCCATTAACTTGAATAAGTTGATGGTTTTCATGCACATTTAATTTCTCATTGTTTAAAATCTACAGGTATTTTTGACTAACTGTATGATGATTTTCCAAGTAAAATATCCCTGGGTAATCCCAGGTTTTTTTGATGATGTAAGATATTATCTTCAGTGGTTTAGTAAACTTTTGTACTCTTCCAGGTCTAGCCATTATATTGTTAATTTAGCTTCAGTAGCAATGTAAGTTATTCCACACAGGCAAGGAGGGAGAGGCAAGGCTAAGGAAATGAAAGCTGTGTGAGAATCTTTGCTTTTCTGAGGAAAAAGTCCTGTTTCATATTATGAGTAGTGGAGAATGCTTCTTAATACTTGAATCTTTTGCTGACAAAAAAAAAAATTGAATTGCAGTTGTTAAATTCTTTCATAGAGTGAGTTAGAACGACAAATATATAAATGCAGTTTATGAAGTCTTTCAGTTTGTAATGGAGTTCTGTTTTATAGTGTGGTGTAATCAGTCCCAGATTTGATGTTCAGCTGAAGGATTTGGAAAAGTGGCAGAACAACCTACTGCCTTCACGTCAGTTTGGGTGAGTATGGAGAGGAGTTAAACACCTGTCCCGTGTAAAACAAGTTGGAGAAGGGAATGTGTGGAAGGAGTTCTTTAGTACGCTTCCATACTGCCTAAGTTAGACTCATCTGATGCTTTTCCTCTCTGATGAGTCTGAAAGTAGATACTAGCCTAAAAGTTAAACTTCTATGGAAATGCCTTTTTTTAAGCCAGTTTTAAAGTGGTTCTGCTTAGCAAGGACCTATTTTTGCTTTGCGCTGAAACAGCCAGGTTCACCATTTCTTTTACTATCAGATTTTTTCCTAACTCATTTTAATTTTATTGGTGGTTATCTACAGGTGGAGAGGGAGTAATCTAAGTTACCAGATCAATGGAAGTAGGTCATGCTATCTTAGTCATGCTCATTGTGAGTAAATGAATTGGATATTAAGTGATGCAAGACTTGGGGCTTCTGTTAAACAAACCTCCAAAACACAGAGAATCCTACTATTTTGCAGTATGGTGTTCATTCCCAAAATTCACTAAGTCAAGAGTAATGAACCACAGCGTACTGGAAGAACACAGCTGGAAGAGTCTTCAGTGGCTCATCTAGTCTCTCCTGTCAAAGGCAGGATTAACAGTTTTTGTCATTTCTGTTGTTAAAGCTGCAGCCTTAAGCTTCTTAGTTTTGCTGTACCTATCGCTTACTACTGTGTGGTGTTATATTGAGATTTTTTTCAAGAGTGTTTGTAGGTGGTGGCACAAGAGGTTCTCAGTCATCAAGCTGTGTGGATGAAGTATGCTAATGATCCAGATGTGTAAACTGACAACTAAGGTTGCTTTAGTTGTCAGTCCAGATACCCATCTGCATCACAGTGAACTGTGCTCAAAACGCTGAGTTATAAAACATGCAGACTTTAGGATCTGCCTGGCACCATGGCAACTATACCTGCTCTGAAGAAAAACGTCTGCTTAAAACAGCAGCAGATGCCTAGAAACTATAGGGTTGGTAGTGCTGGAACAGCCGAACTGGCTTTACAGTGGGAATGCGTACAAAAACTTGTTGAGACTATGCGAATATTTGCAAGCTGAAACCTATGAATGTCCTTTGTGTGCTTCAAAATTGTACTTTGTGAGAGGAGTTGCTCTTTGTTGTCTGATATTTGCTAACGTGATCTGAGTTATATCAGGCCAGTTCTAACAGAAACGGATCTTAACTGTTGTAGTACAAAAATGAAGTTAGGTAATGCTGTCAGCTCTGCGTGAGTATAGGACAAAACTTAAATTACTGAGCATTTTTTCTTTCTTAATAGGTACATAGTACTGACAACCTCAGCTGGCATCATGGACCACGAGGAGGCTAGGCGAAAACACACAGGAGGCAAAATCCTGGGATTCTTTTTCTAAAACTTGTAAAAGAGGATACTAATAAATTGTTCAAATGGACTCTGGTGTTTCCAGTCAGTATTTTAATGATTTCTAGCTGTACCTGCAAGAGTGCTTGTAACAGACAGCTGTTCAACAATGCTAAAGTTCTGACTTTACTTCAAATGTAAGATATTGCAAGTTAAGGACTTCGTGCAGACATTTGGGTTACATACCATCCCTGGTTGCAAGTTTTATTTCTGCTAACGATATAACACGCTTTTAAGAGTTACCAGTTTTTTTTTGAATGAGTTACAGAGAGTTATCCAAAATAGCCTCAGTAGGGGAATTCTAAGCTACGTACCCTTCTATGCTGTGGTTGGCTCACCTCTTAGATATGTGCTTCTCTAAAGATGTGCGACTCCAAAGCTTCACCTGCAGGCTAAGTAGTAAAGATGCCCTGCCAGAAGCTGTTTTCAGATTGTGGTTTAAGTTTATTTAAAAAGCTGTAAGACATAGGATTGTGGAGTAGTTAAGATGCTTGAAGCTTGTTTTTGGCTCACACAAATTTATTTCAAAACTTATAATGTTGGGAGTAACTGAAGGACAGGGGTAAATCATTTTTTCACTCAAATTTCTAGTTTGATGGTTCTTGGAAGCATCAAAATCTTGCGTAGGGTAGGTGCTCTGCAGCTGTTCTGCATGTTGCCATGCAGACTTAACTGTTTGGTTTTGGATCTTTTTTAAATCTGTTTTTGAAGTGAGGGAGTAAGGGGTTTTGAGGCAGCAAGCAATGAATGTCTAGTATTGTGTTGTCAGTATGTTTCAGGCACCTGATACATGAGGGCATAGAATACTTGACAGAAAAATCACCAGCTTCTTTCAAAGCAGTACACAGAGTAAGTGACTGTGGACAAAGAGCTACTTGCAGACGGTAGAGAATGGGAAGGAAGCTTCTGGGCTGATTGCATTGCCCTTCAACTGCAGTTGGAAATCCTTTGCCTTATTTTGCTTTCTTTGGAGTCTTTTAGGAAAATTCATATGGAAACTAAACAAGTATTTTAACATGCTTTAAAGCAGTTATATTGAATTCATGGCTCTCCTTGATGCAAACAGTTGGAAACATTTTTCCTTCTTGGCAGTATGCCTTGGTCATAAGTATGATAAGTTTGACTACCAGTACTGTGCCCTGAAGGTGCTACTTCTATCACAAAGCTTTTCAGAAAGCCTTGGGATGGAAATGACTCTTGAGGCACAAAGACTTTAAACTGCGTAGTTTGTAACTTGCTGAACTGAAATAGGTTGAATGGTTATTTTCTTACGGGGAAAATCGGAAGGTGATGCTTATTCCTAAACAAGCAGGTCTTCAATTTTTTCTAGGCAGGCAGATATGGTCTTAACCTAATGTGTCTCTTCCCTGATGAACAAGTAGTTAGCAACAGAGCTGCAAAAGAATGCTTAAAAGCACGCATTCTGGTGGTGCACCCTAGGGTCCCAGGGGAAAGGGAGTGTCAACCTGACTGAGAAGAGCGCAAGTATTAAAAAGGCTAGTTTTCTTCTTGCATCTGTCACATTCAGTTAAAGGTCACAAAGTCTACACTGCAGATGGCCCCAAAACGTTGAGGGGTGATCGGTGTGAGCCTCAATATCAGTAATCAAAAAGTGAGCTTTATGATCCTCTGAGACAGAAATTTGGTCACGTGGAGACAGAGGTCTACAAACTGAACTACAGAGTAGTTGTGAAATGAAAAATGTCTTGGCTCCTTTTTTTAAATTTATTGCCAAATCAAACTCACATCACAGACATGTTTTGGACTTCTCATGGAAATAGTTCTGCGGTATTGGGCACTGATCTCGCTCACAAGTTGAGCTGTTGTATCTCTTGCTTAAAATAACCCTGAGGATCACCTCAAGGTTCCATTGTTCATTTTTATAAAATCTTGGTTTGTATCAGTCTCGAGTACAGCAAACGTTCCAAATATCTGATGGAAGAAGAACAGTGGTGCTGTAAGAAGGCTTCCTTTGTATGAATTTACTATGGCTTCAAGTTGCCTGCTAATTTTATATTCTTCACATTTTAAGCCAGTTTTAGAGACCGAACACATCATTCTTTTTCAGTACCAAACAGTTTACCAGTGCTTTAATACTACGCAAATGCATTGGGATGACCCTAATATAGAGACCCCTGAAGTAAGAGTATTTTTGATGTTCTCAGTTGACCAGCTGGTTTGGAATAGGACAGTGTTAATGAAGTTATCTCATAACACAGTCCTGCTGGAGCCAACCTGACAGCTTTTATATGATTACTAAATAGGAAAGAGAGCTGTGAAAAGAATGACTTTCAGTTAAGCATACAGCAGCAGCTGCACCTCTTCCACAGCAAACTTTACCATGTCTAGTGTAATTTATGGCATGGATTTCCGTAAGGCTTCATATGGAGAATGCTAAGGTTTAGAAGGCAGCTGGGGGCAGATGCCTTCTGTCAGTCAGAAAACTACCAGGATGTGTGTTTGGGAAAATAGCTTGATTTTTTTTGGCATTGCTCTTGGAATAGTCGGCTTCTTCGAATGAATAAGTAACTTCTCCTTAAAGAAGGATTTCAAGGTTAATGTAGAGAGGTTCAGTGCAGCAGTTTGCGCCTTTCAAGATCTTGCCAATGACCCTATTTGTAATCCTCCATTTTGCACAACTGCGGTATCTAACAAATGTAGCGATGCATAGAGACTTTATTGGACAGTTGTGGAAGGCAATGCAGCCAGTGTGAATCCTAAGATGATCTTCGAGTAAATGTCAGCTTGCAATTTGCTGACAAATTTACCATTTACCGTTTGCTGACAAATTTGCCCATTTACCACTGGGCAATGACTGCTGCTGGAGATCCAGGTAACTTCTGAAACGAGATGGAGGAGCTGGCCCAGGACTGTGATGTGCCCAAGAATGCAGCTGCTTTAAAGGGAGTTAGAGAAATTCTTACTGTCAGACATGTTTAAACCCCCAAAGGGATGCTTTTTTAAGCCTCAGGGGTGTTTTCTGAGCTAGGGGCATGTGCCTGGGGAGAGCAATGTCTGTAGGCAAAAGCTAACTTATCATTTGGGGTAATAAAGATTAACAGGGAGAGGTGAGAGAATATGGCACAAACCTGCAAGCTGAGTACTGGTTGCAACTAGCAATTGAGTCAAAGCCTTAGTTTGAGAGGTGTCTGGTACCTGTGGAGCAGAGCGGGAAGTTAAGGAGAGGTCCTCTATGGGACAGTGGCAGATGGCCATCATGCGGGGAAAAGGGGGAGGGTGGGTGACACCTAAGAACAACTTTGTACAGAAAAACCCTTTATGCTTTTCCCTAGGATGGCCCTTGCTTGTAGTGCCGTTGTGTAAGAACAGGATAAAACGGGTGAATAACCTGCTGTGCATCAGGAGAAATACCTATTTATTTCTGCAGTGGGAAGTCGTCAACAGATGGCAGCAGATGACTGAGAGAGACGTTGGGGACTTCAGTGGGATCCTGTAGCGTGAGGGGGGGGTCTGAGGAGCACCGGTTAGTGCCTGCTTGGCTTTGGTGCTGCTGCTGGCCTCTCTGCTCCTGGAGTAGAGCTAAATATCTGGACTCGGTACTGGTGCCTGGTACTCGGTTCCGCAGAGATAAAGTTCTTCTGACTTGGATGCAGTAGGTCCTCATTGAAGATCATATGGGAGGTGGGAATAAGCATGGATCTCCAAGATACTGCAACAGAGTAAAGCCTGGTGCTTGAGAGTACCTTTGCCGGAAATGCGCAGGGGTGACGACCTCCTCCTGATCCCTTTTGCTTGTTTTCTGCCACAGGTAATTTAATCAGCTCAGTTCTCCTGAATGCTGTGTGTGTTTTGTTTTTTTGTTTTGCTTTTCAAACTCAGTGTGTCAATTCCTCGCACCAGTAATGCAAGTAGTGATTCAACCTTGGTCTCCAATGTCTGATCAGTTATTTTAGAGACTCTTTCATGCTTAGTGGCATCTAGGAGAAAGTGGCAGACGAGGAGGCGTGTTGTTGCTGTGCAGCAGAAAGAGAACATGGGTGGAAGCGGTGAGTGCTTCAGGGCTCCTGCTGTCCTTTGGGAACCTCTAGGCTGCCTTAGCTTGTGGCAAGCTCCTTGGGGTTTTTTATCATGCGAGATCAGCATAGCTCACAAATACAGTTTTATTTTAAGGAGTCACAATCTCGGAGGCTCAGCTGGGAGAGACGGACTAGTCGTGGGTGGGTTTGGCTGGTCTTGCCTGTGAATAGACTGCTGGCTCTGATGCTGCTTTGTCATCAAGGGAAGCCAGGATCTGTGCTGGGCTAACACCAGGAGAAAAGCTGCCAAAGCTACTATTTTGGAGTTTTTATTACAATTACATGCTCTCAAATGACAAGATTTCTTGTGTTTTGTCTGATGCTATTCAGCTAGTTTAGATTTAAAACAATATTCAGTTTGGTGTCTTGTGACCAATTAAAGCAAATATCAGGCTCTCACTAAACATCATGATGGATTTAATCAAGGTTTAGTCCAGAAAAATATTCTGTTAGCGTCAAAGTCTTTCAGAAGCTAGTGGGCCCTGTTCCCGCTCGTGTATCTGAAAGCTTTTTCTACTCAAATGTGGCCGTTTTGCTCAGGTAGTTCTCTTTTAAAAAAGAAAGAATTATCTAACTTTCTCTTAATTCTCCTGCTGTTCATCTGCTTGTTCTGGTACATCGTATTTTGACCATGGGCTCTATTCATGACCTGGAATAATTTGGTTTTGTTTACAAATATTCCTTGCCAAGAAAGTGCTGACATAGCAAGTGACAAGAGTAACTGGGTAAGCCTTCATCACTTGATGCGCAAAGGTGCATCTTCTCCTGGGAAAAAAAGATACATCTGTTGACCTGCTGCTGCTTTTGTCAGAGAGGGGGAGGACGTCTGAAGGCATAACACGTTCCATTTACATTTTTAATTTTATCTAGTCTGGTTTATTATGTGACATCAGAATAATCTTATTTTTGGGACTGTATCTTTTCTCACACAGTATCCAGAAAGAAAGGATGATCAGATATTTTATTAATGACTAAATGACAACCTGGTGAAATG